ATTTCTATCGATAAGAAATACACGAAATGTATATTTTTTAATTAAAAATCATTACTTTGATATATTGTAAAAGGAAAATCATTAGCTGAAAACTTAATTTTTAATTTGAACTAACCGTATATTTGGGCTTTTAAATCAAATTTGCTTTTTTATTATTATATTAGCTTTTATTAATATCTACATTTCGATAGCGAGAATCTAAGTTTGGTAAATTTGATTTCAAGTGACTTATCGAAGGCAATCAAGTTACCAAGTTACATCTTGAAAAAATTGTGATCCGTTTTCTATAATTCTGCTTAAGATATATTTTTAGCGAATCACAAAATGAGAGTGTTCTGAAGATAGTTCAGTAAATTTTAGAAACATGTGGCATATATATTTTCTATAATAATTGAATGGAAAGTAATAATTAATAATAGAAATAATAATGAATTAAAGAGTGAATGTATAAAAAAATAAATTAAATTGTGTCTAAACAACATATTCCTTTCCTTGCCCGTTATGAAATTTCAAGTGAGATTAATTTCAAAACGAAGAACCTCAACTAAAACTTTCTTTCATTATTTTCTGGGTATTGCAACAAACTAATACTACGTGTTTTATTTCCGCACGCATTTTAGAGGTCGATATGAAATAAACGTTAGGTCTTGAAAGTGGAAGCAGAGTGTGAACAGAAAACTGTCATTATATATGTAACGCAATTGTTTATTTAAAATTTCATGAGCCATAATTTGGGGTTGCACTGCACTTTAAATGAATGTTAAACACTCTTCATATTTAAATGCATAATAAAGCAATAAACAAGTGAAAGCAAATGCCCTCTAGGTACCTATTCCCGACAGAGATTTTGCGGTCGACATTTCTCTTTCGGCAGTACCCCTCTTTTTGTAACCATTCTTCCTCACCGGCGGGGAGCTCTACAGTCACTGAATCGCAGCTAATCTGCAAATAACCGCCTGCGGCAACTGGCACCAAAAGTGGGTCCTAATTTCCTTCCCTTTCTCCCCGTCACCAGGGTTCTGGATGTTTGCTTGTAGACACCTCATCGCTCCCGACCCCCTTTCTGAAAGGTGACAATGTTCCCGACAAAAGTATAAGATGGTGTGGAGAATAGAAGAACCAGTAAATCGCAACATTGTATCCTGGCCCATGATTACAGACAAGGAGCGATTAGGACTCTTTTGAAACGGGATCAGCGCTCCGGGAAATCTTGTATCCCAACAAGGTGTCATTTCTTCGGCAAGATAAGAATCTTTTTATGAAGGTGTTCTGATATTGCTTAACGAAGCGCTGCCGCTATGGCGACAGCACCTCGGAATAATACCGTCTGGCACGCTTTTCACCGTGAGAATGGATGGTTTGCCTATATTGATCTACTGCGCAGTCATTTACGCTAGTAAATGAAGCGTAAAATTGGCCACTCGACTCACTGCGCATACGGTATCATTTTTAAAGGTAAAAAGAGCGCACTATTTTTAAGCAGTAGTCAGCGAAGTTCGTATTGCTTCAAAATAGTGAATTCTTTAAAGTTTCAACGAAAGAACACTGAAGTTGTTTCTGCGAATGAACAGTTAATGACTTTGTGATAAAATTAGTTTGGTAACTTCCCAAATGTGCAGCAAAAAATTTTCAAGACTAATTACCTGAGACAGCGCTTCCCAAACTTCAATACATCTGGATCAAAGTTTTAAAATTAAAATTTATCCAAATGTTTATAAGAGGATGAAATTCTAAAATGAAACAAAGTAACAACGTAAGAGGGAAATTATAAATAAACCAATAAACACATAAATGCAATACAATATAGAACATTACCCACTAATATAATAATAACTGATATATTCATATATATCGATATATTGTATGGATTTTATCCAAATGTAAATAATGCACTTAGACAACAGATTTAACAATTAAACAGATAACTTTCAACCGTTCAAAGTGTCTTTCGATAAATAGCAAGGCCTGAAAATGACGCCCAACCATCTGAAAATTCAAACTGTTGAACTGCTAGAAAATAACCATTGTTCTTATTTATACAAATTAAATTTAAAAAAAATATAATTTAATATTGTAGTTTAATTTTACAGAAAAGTATGGAAAACAATATATAAGAATTAGAACATTTTCTTAACTACAATATGTAAGTCATACTCTGAGTCATTTGTGCATACATTTATTTATATGCATACAAACGGCTTTGATTTCAATACGTTGCGTCCGATTCCACATGCATATGATTTTACTTTTCTGTATGGTAATTACGTTTTGTAATATTTTGTGATTTTAACTTACATAAATGCGAACTGAAATTTATAACAATTGATTTTGAAGTTTATTATTTAGTATACATATTAATATTAGACAAATTTTATGTCAATGAAAGCAGCACTTTAAATTTCAGTAATATTCGAGCTTCGTAACTGGGCATGTTAAGAACAACAATTAGATTTTTTTTTTTTTTTTTATATTTTATAAAACCCAGCAAAATGGTTTTCAATTAAAATGAAATTTTTTAAAGACAATTAAAAAGGATTTCTCAGTTTTTAAGTAATGCTATTTATAAATATAAAATGATGATTCTTAATGAACTTCTATGTATTCAAGTAAATACCATATGCAACCATATGCAAATTCTTACCATATGCAAATTCTAAACTTTTTTTACTATGTGCTAAAATCTTGGTAGCCAGGAAAACACAGCATTGCCAACCTTTTAAAATTTTCTCCTCGATTATATAACTGTCACCTGATTTTAAATGAAGTAAAATATATTTACAATAATTGAGAAGACCTTTTTCATTTGAATAAAGAACAATATAGTAATTTGAAAGTTAAAACCGACTATTTTTATTCAATCTATGTCCATATACATGCCGCCCAGTCGGTATAGTGGTTTGGGAAGCTGATTGCGATACCGAAGAGCCTGAGTTCGAATTTCGGAGAAGGCATGGCTGCAAATGTCTGTCCCCTTCATAGGAAAGGCGATGGTGGCCCACCTATTACGTGATTCCATACTAAAGAGACCACCACATCCGGCCTTGTATAGATTGGGTTACATTTGTAATTGTTCACAATCTGCCATCGGAAAAAAAAATGTCCATATACATTCTTTTGGAATAAATAAAAACAAATGTTAAAAAAGCAACGAAAGCTACCACGGAAGTAAATATCGAAACACAAAAATAGCTTTAAAATAATCATCAGCTTGCCAAGACTGTTGTATAAAACATAATAATTTATTTTTTACACGTAATTAATATAGATTTGAAATAAAGAAATAGCATCTAGCCTTAATCATTTAATCAATGCTTTAAGTAACAATATGGATCGGTATCCTTAAGTGTTGATAAATATTTACTTGTTTTCCAGTGCATACTACTGCTGTTCGTATTCGTACAATGCCTTCGGTAAGTTCCGATGTATATAATTAGGCAGCTATTGTATGACAAACGTTTTAAAATTACTTTGAGTTGTTACACATATAATGGAATTTATAAAATAAAACTACAAATTGTTGAAAAACGACGACATTAGCTTCAAACTACAATTATATTTCAATAGGAGAATCATTACTTTTTACTTTTAGCATGCGGCTGGCAAGCGGCTGTTTGGCCATGTATGGTATACACGCATAGTACTTTCTTAAACTGCATATGTATTCCTCTCGGTAGGGAGTCTCTTCGCTTCGAATGTAGTGTGGATGAAAGGCAGTTCAACTGCTGAATTCAGAACTGAAGTAAGAGCTTTTATAGGTTTCGTCAGGACTAAGTAGTGGAGAAGATAATTTTTGCAGTTTTCTGGGAAATCTTCAAAATGCTATATTGCTTTACAAAATACCTTTAAATGAATTATTAATTATAATAAAGCATTAAAATTTAAATATCCGAAATCATAAAAGTTGCGCCATTTCGTCAAATATAGCAAAAACTATATTTCGAGAGGTCCTATACGCAAAATACTACTAAAATATATTAAACTAATTAAATTATAAGAAAAACCTGCAAGCTTTGAAATTTTATATTACGCCCATATGGGCGTTTTTTCATTTACGCGTATAAACTCGTTTCGAAAGCATTTGAGCTAACGTACTTTTGGGCTAAAAATATCTAAAAACAGCATATCTCTAGAATTTCCGATAGACTGTCTCGCGTACCACAGATAAAAATATTTTATTTTATATAGTGAGTTGCCACTGCTCGCTTTGAAATCGTTGAGTTTCTTAATCAAACTTCGTTAAAGTTTAAAGCATATGAAGTAGATAGTAAAACAAATTCGAAACTGAAATCGAAAGCATTTCGCATGTTCGAAAGCATTTGAGCTAACGTACTTTTGGGCTAAAAATATCTAAAAACAGCATATCTCTAGAATTTCCGATAGACTGTCTCGCGTACCGCAGATAAAAATATTTTATTTTATATAGTGAGTTGCCACTGCTCGCTTTGAAATCGTTGAGTTTCTTAATCAAACTTCGTTAAAGTTTAAAGCATATGAAGTAGATAGTAAAACAAATTCGAAACTGAATATTAGGACTTCCAGGTGCCCATAATCGGTTGAGGACTATGTTATTCAAAAGTTGATGGCTCTGAGTATCGTTGTTTTTTTCCACAGTGCGAGAAACATACATACATTCATGCCGATTCTTCATTATTTAATTTCTTTAAATATAATTAAGGGCGATACTATTTGGTGGCAATAGTTTGAAAAGTGATACAGCCGTTTGTAGTGATTCGACGTAAAATGACGTTTTGAGACTAATAGCCTTTCTACGCAGACGCCCCTCTGGGCTAAAAAGCAATAAGGTAAAAACGATACAAAAACTGTTTCTTTCGTAAATGTGCAGCAAACCGATATGTAAAGAAAATACAGAGGATAAATTTATAATTATAATAAATAAGTAGAAGAAAACACAGAGAATGCAAATAACTGCATATTTACATTAGTTTAGAACACTAGATTTATTAGACTTGATTTTCATGTTAACTTTTAATCTTCGGCAGGCAGTCCTACAGAAAACCAGCATTCTTCACCTGTACATGCTGACCTCTCTGGGGGTAGTAGTAAACCCGATCCTGACAGTGGTTCAGAAGAAGGCCCTAAAAAGAAACACAGAAGGAATAGGACGACGTTCACCACGTATCAACTGCATGAACTGGAGAGAGCTTTCGAGAAATCCCACTACCCAGATGTCTACAGCCGAGAGGAACTAGCCATGAAAGTTAATTTACCCGAAGTCAGAGTTCAGGTAAATGCTATGGGCAGATTTTATTAATTTGCCATTTGATTAAGCATTGGTCAAAGTTACTTGAAAAAAAAAGAAGGAATGTATTTTTTAAATGAATGTAGAGATTTATAAATCTGTATTATCTCTTTGTGAATTTGCCATATGATGGAAATGCCATGTAATGGATTTTACCATATAATGGAAATGTTTTTAGCTATTGCTCGTTAAGTTATTACTTATCTTTGTTATTAATAACTTATTCCCATTTTTTGTATTTTCCACCTGAAATTTCCTGTTGTTTACTTTTTTCAAAATTTATCTTTTCTCAACCTTACTGTATAGCCTCATTCTTGTTTCCCTTTATTCAAATTCAAGTTTCATTTATATACTGATATGAAATTACATATTTTGAGACGTAAGGTATCGAGATACCTTAGTGATGATATGATGCAGATAATACCTCTCTCTTTAAAGTGTTTACGTTCCTGTGTTAGAATGGTGCCGAAATGGATGAAGTAGTTTCGATTTTAAATCCTTAATAAATCCAAGCACTCTCGGTCTATTCAAACGAAACTGCATATATTTAATAATAAAACAATCACACGTAAACATTTTGCAATAATTCAGCAATACAGGTAAGCTTTAGAATAAGAATTACAACAGTTACAGGTCAGCTACGCTTTTAGCGACAGAATTCTATGAACAACAAATCTCAAAAGCGTGTTGCCAACGCAGGGCAACCAGAAGGTAGAAATTAATTCGAGAAGGCGTGGAAGTAAACAAAGTGCATGCTGAAAAATATCACTTGAATTTTTTTTATAAATCTTATATATATGCGGCTTAAGTATTTGTCGCCGATAGTTTATTGGTTGCTTGCGTAACTGTACGAGGCAATGGTTTCTCATACATTTGGTTTTCAAATCCAAGTTCAGAAATTTCTTTTATTTTTGCCAAAACTAGATATGAAATACAATGTTGGCAATAAATGCATTTTCCTTTGAAATTATTAAGTCTGTTTTTGTATTTTAAACTGAACGCAAATTGAGCGTATCAGGGGGAACGTGAACATTTGTTTGCATTAGCAATAATCTGTTTTTGAAAGGGTTTACGACTGAACGCAAGAGTTCGTGAGTTCCTGTTCAATAGTTCGTGAGCGAACGGACGTAAAATTAAAAATAATGGATGGTCCTCTGCAAGGCGAGCTTAAAAATGATGAAAAGATCTTTACAAGAAATGTTGTGCGCAAAGAGATCTTTGTCATGTAAATTAACATTTTATTATTTGAATCACCTTTATTAATTGAGCTAGCGGTGGCTCTTAAGAAATGTACCGCCAGTGGTTTCCTTCATTGCACTCTACTTTAAGCAATTAAGCAAGTACAAGGGAAAAACTCCGTGGGGCAGTAAGCAAAGGGGCGTCCTCGCCGCCTGCTCTGGGTAATTCAGTTTGAATTAGCAGACACCTTTGCACAAATCATTTTAATTACAATTTATAATATCTAAAACAGCGGTCATTTCGTATAACCGTCGGGATTTCTAGTATAATATAATCGTAGATAATCTCATCAATTCATTTCATTTCAAAGATTATATAAATTTTCGGTTAAAAATGTAAAGGCTCTTGAAATTTAAACAATTAGGGTCTTTTGCTGTCTTGTTTTATCTTGCTTGTCTGATATCAGAGCAAGCCCACGGAAATCATCGTGGAAAGGAGGCCAGATTGCGTCTGTCATTGGCAAAAGCCTTGGGACCCATACAGGTGACAGTACGACTTTGCCCAGTTGCGCCGCTGTTTTGGAGACCATCCCGGGGTTGACGAGTCCGATGATATCTTCTTCCGCTACCATCAACCTCTTAAGAAGACTTTCGGCTAGCCGCATTATACACTTACGAGCATTCGGGATTCGAACCTGAGTCTTTAGGTACGGCAGCCAACGTCCCTAACTACTATCCCGGTTCGGCAGCGTTCCATTCTTAATGATAATGATATAGGGATCGGGTAATTATGAAAAATCACACGAAGGAATGTTAAGGAAAAAATTTCTTTGTATAGGAAACTTTTAAAGAAGCTCTTATTCAAGTTTCACATGGAGAAAAATATGAAAATTTGCATGCAGCCAGCCACATCTCTGGAATTTCAACGCTGGACGAATTACCATTGTATTCCACCGCTATATTATTCAGCGCTCTTACTGCTCAGCCGCTAATAACAATGCATAAAAAATGCGATAATACAACACTCTGCCGTGGAAGATCACAACATGTTCCTTCAGATACTTTCCAAAAATGTGTGTCGTCTGAAAGTTATAAGAATAAGTCTTAACTTGAATTCTGCATGGACAATACAATTTTTAGGGCTGCTGTTGCTAATTAAATGACTAAAAACTTGATAAAAATTGCAGTCAAACATTTGGAAAGAAAAAAGATATCTATAGAATCTATAGAAAAAAGTGAAAATTAAGCGGTTATTTTACTTCAAATAGGTGAAAAAAATTCAGAATCTTCCTTCGAATAATCCACTAACCATGCTTTCAGAAACGAAAGTATTGAATGAATTGAGAGCGACAAATATACAGTCAGTTGTGAATGCGTCCAGCAACGTCACGCTGTCAGAATACAAAGTAGGTTCTCTATATGGATGGCAAAAGGGAGATCGAGGAGGAAGAATGTTTGGCGGAAGGCTGCTTAAACATATTAAATACATATGTGAAATTTAAATAGGGAATGGAACCTCGAAGCTGGCACTCTGGCTTATCTGAAATGACTTCTTGCAACAGCAATGCATTAGGTTTCAGAATTACATCGAAAACCTGTTTGTCGCCTTCAGTAAACGAGTTTCCTGTCTTAGTAAATATATATATATGTGTGTGTGTGTGTGTGTGTGTGTGTATATATGTATTACTGGTTGAGGGAAGCATTTATTTCAAGAAAAGTTTGCAAATGGTCCAATAAAGTAAATACACAGGAACGACTTGAATAATTCTTTTCTTCATCAATAAGAGCATGGCCCTCAACGCCGCGATGGCTCATAATGAAATAAGGTCATAGCAAATTCTTTCCTGGCTGTCATCTGGTTTTCCCCAGTGTTTGAGTGATATAGACAATTGAATACTGGTAGTTCGAACCCTGGTGAATGGGCTAGTTGTTGGGATAATTTTGTTGTTCCTTCCCATACTTTTGGCCCACCAGCGGCCGAGCGGTAAAATCGCTGAACACTGGTAGTTCGGTCCGAGGTTCGAAACCCGCGAACGGGCTGGCTGCATGGGCGTTTTCGTGGTTTTCCCCATGTGTAACGTGTATACGAGCCAGTTTCCCTTAGAAAGTCCTCCACGAAGGCATCCCTCCTCTTAGGCAGATAGCCCTCGAGGCTTTGCCATAATCACACACAAACAAACAAAAACCCTTCCCATACTTTTTCGTAAATACTAGACCGCTTATCCTTTAACGTTCTCCGTAAAGGCATTCTTTTCCTTTGGCTGCTAGCCTTCGTGTTCTTTGCCATATTCAAATAACCTAACTTGATCCTATCATCTGGCATTTCTAATTTTCATTTCAAATGCATGGTTTTATGTTTTTTATCTTAAATTTCTAGGGAATGCTTTTTACTTCCTTGTACGAAGTAAAAAGAAACTATTGTAATCGCGAAAAGTTTCAGGCAGCATATTTCAACGAAAATATCCATTTTGACCGCTATCGAATGCAATTTAACGATGTTCCTGCATGATATCTGTACGTAAGGACAGAAAAAAAGACTCTTTTCCTCCAAAAAAATTATAAAACTGCTTTAAAATGAATTCTGAAGAGAAAACTTTTCGTGGCGTCCGTACGAACGTATGTACGTACGTACGTATCTCGTATAACTCAAAAACGAGTAGCCTCTCAGAACGTTGAAATTTTGTATATAGGACTGCTATAACATGTAGATGTGCACCTCGCATTTTGGTTGCAATCGGCCGCACCAAACGTATATATATATTCAGTCTGTTACCCGGCTCAGTGATCTCAGTTTCTCTTATATGTTTGTAAATTGTACATTTTTTGCTTTAAAAATGATTAAATTATGTAGTTTTTATCTTCCTGTTTAGGTTTTATGCCTTTAGTAAATCTGTGTGCAATATTTTTAGAATTATCAACAATTTAAAATTGTTGCCAATCTAGAGAAACTTAGCTTCGCAATAACAAAGATAACGCCTTCATTTATTATTGCCAATTAAATCATGCTTAATCCTTTCTGGAATCTTTTCGAGGAAATAAGTGTTTAAGATTTACTTCGTAATTTTTAATACAGATATTTTGAGTTTTAATACATTTTTGCCTTGTCGCGAAGTGAGAACTGAATTAATTGAATGAGAAATACTCAATCGTCTGTGATAAACTGTTTCTTTTTTCTTTTATTTGCTTAATTTCTTTTATACATCATTCTAGCTTTATTATAGTATTTGAATAGAACAACGATTAGATAATTCTATTCTTTAAATGATATAAATTTTATGCATTATGAGTTATAATATGAACGAAATATAATACTGTTAAGTGAATCTAGCGCCAGGGTGTCGCTATGGTAAACAAAATACTAGAGCGAATTTTAAAGAATGCATTTATTCTATTGTGGTTTATGCGCTGTCGGTGAAGTAGATTTAATTCAATCCAATAAGTTTAAATAAAATGAAAAAAAAAAGCATATAATTTAATATTCCGTACAAGGAAGTCATGTGGTGTACACATCAGATTTTTTAATTTAGTAGGTTAATTTTAATTACGCTTAAAATTATTTTAAGAACTATACTAGAAATCATCACAAGAAGATTGAATGCCTTTTTGGAAATGTTTTATGAGTTTTAACGTTTTCTGAGTGCTCGAAACATTTTTGGGAAATTTTTCGAGATATTCAACAGTAATAGAAAATTTTTAAATAATTTGAATTTTGAGATTACTATTTTTTTATATACTTTCAATCAATAAATATAATTTTATCTTTTCTGTAATAATTTTAATTAAATTTTAATTCTAACATTACGTTAA